GTTAGGTAAGATTTTTAATTTTTAAACCCTAAAAAAGGCACTAAAAATGTTGATATTTATTTATTTTGAAATTATAACAATCATGTTATAAATGCATGTAAAGTTGTTTGGATTTATCTACGTTGTAGATTGTACATGAAAAAGAAGTATGGATCGGAGCTTTGGTTCCAAGAAAATCTTTCTGAATGCATTTCTACAAAGGATGCCTTGAAGTTTGCGATTGTGAATCCCCTTGAAATAATATTGGTAAGTTGAACTTGGCATTTTTGTAATACCGTGAATATGAATTGGACGGTGCGGTGATCTCTATACGCCGATCCCCTTCATTTAATACAATTACTGTTAATCTGTCAAGTTTGTTCGTGTATTACCCAGTAATTGGTTTGTTTACTTGTTTTTCTAATTATGGTAATTAGCTAATTGATTGACCCTATCAATCCATTCTCGCAATAGTGGTGTAGACTTGCTAACGTAGGGGATTCTTTCTTATTTGATAATGATAGTTATAGGGATCGGATTTTTTTCACAGTTAGAAACTGTAAAATGTAATGAAACTCTTGCTTTTATATCCTATTGCTCATGAATTCTTTTTCCTTATGAAAATTCCTATAAACTCTTGACTGTCATGATGCATTGAATGAAGCAGAGTTTTGAAAAGATGAAGATGTACTTTTACTGCAGACTGAAAATTGTTTTAGCTCAATTAATCTTTAATTATGTTGAAGCTTTGCAGGATGTTAAATCTGGCCCAAGCTATGTCCGCATCCGTTTGACATACACTGAAACGAAGCCATCAATCATACCTTTGAAATCAGTAGACAGGAATGGGGGTTCGCAGAGAAGAAAAACAGGCAAGCGAGTTTGTTTACATGTAAATAAAATGTTGTTTAGTTGTAAATGGCCATTTCTGCATTGGCCATCCACTGCAGTTAATCCTTTAATGTTTTCTATACTTGTCTTCATAATGATGATTCCCTGTTTACCTGAAACCCTATGCTTCTGGCTCAGAATTTTGTACATTTTAAACGCACACAACTGTAATAATAGTGAACAATCATTTGGCAGTGATGATCTTCAGGGAATTGTAGCCCCTGGATTAATAATTTCAACACCTTTTTACTTCATCTCCTTTTAGAATTTCTATATCTATACAATATGACATGCTTAACACTTGTAAAAAAATTGGTGTCTGAACTGATAGTCTCTACATACTTTCTAAAGCACTGTGATGTCAACAGTTCAACTTATAAGCTTCATTTTTCTGGTCAGTCTATTAGTTGAGGTTTGGATGCTCATATAACTTGATCTGTTTATGCAGGGACAAACAATGGTTTGGACACTGTTCATGTTGAGTTAGTGGGAAATGGAACTGGTTGTTGTGATTTATCACTGGGTCAAGGAAGTCCTGCCTCTGGAAGGTCTTCTACTGGTTTGGCTGAACATGAATCTTCTGAATGCTCCAACTTGCATCTAGAGAGGGTAATGTTCTTCCCCATTTTATCCTGCAGTCTCAACTTCAATGTGGATTGGTTGGTTACTTGCCCATAGTCAATGTAATGATATTGAAACTTCTATGCACTTAATTTTGAAATTCATGGTTGTTAAAATCTCAAGTGAAAAAATGGGATTACCTGGTCTACCCAGAATTAGATCTACAAAGAATTTGGAGAATGCTCTACCTTTTTAGAGTTTTTGCATGAGATGGCTGCTTCATAGTCTTGAACCCTGCACCCTTGTGTTTGGAAGTGAAACTTTGAAATCCTTAGCAGTTTATTTTATTTTGAAGGTTGAAATTACTAAACATTAGCAATTTCACTCTTGAGCGTGTCATGTCTGAACTTTTATGGTAGAATTTATTGTCTATGTGATGGTTATTTTTCTGCCATTGCTGGCTTAGATGTGGTTGTGGTGCTTATTGGGCTTGGATATCTGTCTTTCCAGGTTAATGAACCCTGCCACTTGGTTTTCCTATGCTACAGGACACCTATCTATTTTGGTGGGAGATATCTGAAGGTTAGTTGACTGTTATCAGAAATTGTTAGAAAGACTAAACTGAGCATCTCAGTATTTGAGTTACTGAAGGAATTTTTTTTTACATTGCTTTCATAAGGAAAAAACCTTTTGCACTGGCGAGGATGACATGGCATCTTAAAAATAAACTTTACATCTTTTACTGTTAGCCATGGAGAGCATAAGAAATTGATGAGCTGAAAAGTCAATTTTAGTTGTATTAACAAGGAAATAATGGAATGAGTTAGGAAGTTCTCATGTCGCCATTTTGAGTTTACTATTGCATGACACATCATGATGCCACTTGTAATCAAAAGGACTTTACATGATATTGCAGGGGAAAGTGAAACATTTGACATGTTTAAAAGATGAAATATTCTATGTGAGGTACAATATTTGACATGGAAAATCATCAGTTATACTGATTTATCATTAAATTATGTGCAATCAAATGATTGCTATACATATCGCAGTTCTCTAGAAATGTGAGTCAAACTCGTTGGATCATTGATGATGAAAGAATGGGAGAAGCATCCATTGAGGTACTGCCTACTTCTGCCAATGGACATTTCCATCCTTTTTGTTAGTATGAAATGATGAGTGAGAGCTAACAGTTCTTCTGCTATTCTATAGGAGATAATAGGTGGCAACATTCTTCCAATGTGTCAAGGTGACAGTTACAAGTTTCATGCTGCTGGTAGAGAGGATATCGATGTACATAAGATCTGCTCTTGTAATTGTGCACTTGAATTCAACAAATATTGTTCTAATACATGAAGCTTCTGTTCCCAGGTTCGGATGTTGGGTTCAGGCAGGCCTTTCCTGGTAGAGGTACAAAATGCACGCAAGGTGCCATCTGAGGCTCTGGTAAAAGAAATAGAAACAAGGATGAATAACTTAGGGAATAAATTGGTGAGCTTATTACCAAATCTGTGCTTGTCCTCCCCCTTCTGTTTTGTTTTTCCATTTTTCATGTTATTCCACATCTTATGCTATGCTGTAGGTAGGGGTGAAAAATCTTAGTCTAGTAACCAGTCATAGCTGGGACTTGATGCGTGAAGGGGAAGCAGAAAAGCAGGTTTTTTTCACCTCCTTTTGGCTTTTGTATCTGACTTTGATTGTTTGTACTTTATGATTTGAGATAAAATTGTTAGATACAATTAGAAAATTAAAGCCCTAATATTAGCATCACATGTATTTCATGTAGAAGCAATATTGTGCACTGGTATGGATTTCACGACCACTTGAGGATGAAGACTTGCAGTGTATAGCTTCACACAAAGATTTGGTAAGTTATATGGGATCTTTGTTTTGTATTGCATTGAAGCTTTTAATACCTGTTATGAACCTTTGCATTGGGCAGATTTGGTATTTAAATATTTTATTGTCTTAATCCCTTTGCCAGTTTTCTGGTAGAGATTTCTTTCTAGTCATCTGATGTGCTCCATTATTTGGTTCTTTCATTCTTGGACAGCAAATTTTGCAGAGAACTCCAGTAAGGGTGCTTCACCGCCGTAGTCCACTAGAACGCAGGAAGATTATACATTGGTTAGAGTCTCTCCCATTACGTAGCATCATGTTATTCTTGTCAATCTCTGTTACAATTCACAATGGCTAACAGGCTATCTCCTCTCATTTCCTATTATAGGATGAAAATTGAGCAGATCACTGGAAGCTCTCAATATTTTCTTTTGCATTTATGTACCCAGGTAAAATAATTGAAACCATACCATGAGATGCATAACTCTCTTTCCAAATACCATGCTAATAGATCTCATTTTGAAGTGTTTGGTTTCATAGTGATAATGAAACTAGGAATAAAACACTACAGATTGTGGTAGATTGGTAATCTAAGAAATTAGAGATGTAGACGTGATGATGTAAATATAATTTTAAAAGTATTATGTAGAATAATGGCCCAGGATTGAATGACCTCTTCACTACCTGACTGCTTTGAGGTCTGTGGAAAGTAATTCTCAAACCTGTATCTAGCGAAGTGGCGCTAATTATGATGCTTGAATCACAGGCTGGCACGTATATCAAAGAATTTGTTCACGGGGATCTAGGCCGTACGCATCCAAGGTATGAGAAAACAAACAATCTATCATTTTATCTACTGTTGCAGCTCAACTGTTAAGAGTCTCATAACTTTGTATAGTGATTATTTTATTGATGGGAATGATGCCTAGGTTTACTTTGAGAAATCTGGTATATTTCATATTTAGTGGCTTGGTTGTCATAGACGTAGACTGGCACAACTTCCATTTATAGTTCAGCACAGCACTGCTATTTACTTGAGTAGTATTCAACTTACTAGAGCTGTCAGTGTAGTAATATTTGTGATAGTAGAATCATTGAATTTGTTGACTCATTGACAAATCAATTTTTTTAAAAAAATGAGGTTGATAAAAAAAAGGTTCTGTTTCCGTGCTTATTTCTTTTTTTTCCCGTCAGTTTAAAACAAATTTCTTTACATTTGGCAGCATTGGATCGATTCTAAGATGCAGAGCAGAGATACTACAACTTGATGTTACCGACGTGAAAATGGATTGTTTTTTGGCTGAATAAGATTCTTGCGTTTATTTTGAGGTTTTTTAATTGACTATTTTCTGATTTGCAATATTTTGGAAGTATCTTTAAGTTACGAGTGCCTGGGTCTTTTTTATTCTGTGCCCGTCCATGCAACATGGAGCGGTCATCCCTTATGAGTTTATTGCTCTATCCCTGGCCTGATTGAGAGTTTGTAAGAGTGACTCGGGTGAATTTAAAAGGTCATTCTAAGTTTATTTTTAAGCTGATACGATGTGTCTCATTGAGTTTTGGTTGAGTCTTATATTGACTTGATTGAGTCAACTTCCTTCCAACCAACTTATCACGGTTAACTTGTGTATCACTGGTTCTATTTCACGGTAGAAGAGTCATCCATAGACCCGCTCGTGCAAAACCAACCCATTTTATGCGAGCAAAGAATCACAACAAAAAAAAGAAGAAAAAGCAAGGGGTTATTTTAGGACTCGGCAATCAAAAGTTACAATGTCACTGTTGCAGAACCCTCATGAAAGCATAATTAATTTTGAAGAAAAGGGTGTCCTTTTCAGGTAATAAAAAGAGCTGCTATGACAATATCTATTGATCTTTTAGATCTTTCTATCAATTGTAGGAGCTCCTTTTACATCCAAATCCGATCCTACTCGTTCCAGGAAGCATCCAACATCCTTGCCATGAAGCTATACGTATCAGCGGCTTCATCGATCTGTGGAAAAAGTGCCGAATGTCAATAATCCGATCCATTTCCTATATATATATCATTGTCCAGTCCAACAGGCCCCAAAATTTTGCGCTATAATTACCATTTTTTTAGTTGGGCGTCCAGCTCCATGTCCCGCCTTACACTCAATGCGACCTATGATTGGATTTGTCTGAGGACTATTCTCCAAGCTCGTGCACAAAATATGTTGCATGGTCTGAAGACACAAGATGCACAGATTTTGAGAAGGGCAGTATAAATGAATGCAGATATGTTCAATGATGATACAAAATGAATAGTGGATAAGATATATGACAGCCCCGCTTTAATGAACCTTTACTGTTTTGAGAACTTACAGCCAGCAGCTTCAGAGAGTGTAATGGCACAACTCGATCATCATGATCGGCAGTCAATAGCATGGTGGCTGGGTACTGTGAAGGTTGTTCGGGATGTTGTTCCCATGGTCTGCGGACATTATGCAGCGGCGAGTACCTGAGTAAAGAAAACATGAAGGTCAAAACAAGATGCAGTGTCCAGGTGTTCACTGAGACTTGTCTTTGCAAGATTGGGAATATGCGATGGTGCCAAGCAGAGAATTCAGCTTACACAGAAAAGCTCATTAACAACCAGCAAACTCTATGATGCTATATAAAGTTGCTGAACGAATACACTTAAAGAGAGGCTGGTGGTTTCATGGAAATAGTTGTGACAAAAGTTCACAATCACCACCTTTGCTTTGCACTTTAAGAAAGATGGCAATCAAACTCGCTAAGATATGGTTTAATTTAGCAATAATAAGCAAGAGCATCTACTTTGTGCTGCCACCGGTGGTTCCTAGAAGACAGGCAACTGTTATGGATCCAACCTTCCAGTGTTGGACCCGGGCTTTTAAACAAAACAACTGTAAACAAGGCTTTTAGAATAAGAAGATGCCACTAGATTCTTATACTGAATTCAACTCACTCACTTGATTAGCCATTCGAACTCTTCCTTCTTGTCTGAACAGCCATAGTCAGAAGTCCATGCATGACCTAAAAAACAAAACTCAGCTAAAAATCAATATACAAACGGTGGTTATTGCTTATTAGAGCCAAAGGAAGTCAGCTACCTATGGTAAACTTGTGAAATCGAAGCATGTCCATAACACCAACATGAGCCAGAGCACAACCAAAGAGGTCGGGTCGCTGCCACATAAATGTAATAAACACAACTAATACAAACTAAAATACATGGCGAAACTAAAATATAATCAGGCAAATGAATAGACTTTCCACCTGATTTATGCAAGCCCCAACAAGCAGCCCGCCGTTGCTTCCACCTTCAATGCACAACTTCTTTGGTTGGGTATAACCAGCAGATACTAGGTATTCAGCTGCTGAAATGAAGTCATCAAAGCAATTCTGCTTTCTCGAAAGTGAGCCCGCTTTATGCCATTCCTCACCGTATTCTCCACCACCACGAATATTTGCAATGCAGACAACAGAACCTAAATGCCTTGTCAGAACAATTCGATTGACACTAAATGATGGTGTAATGCTAATGTTAAATCCACCATAGGCATATAACAAACATGGGTGTGACCCATCCAACGTTATATTCTTCTTGGCCACAATAAACATAGGAATCCTGGTACCATCCTTGCTAGGCACAAACACCTGAAATGAAAGCACCAAGTCAAGTAGGAAACAAATACCAAAGTTTGTACATAGTGAGGACCGGAAGGGTGTATCTGTTAAATTTAATTTTCAGAAAAAAATATCACTAAAGCTCCGCCAGAAAAAGGAGAGCATCAACTAGATAGAACAGTATAGACACTATAAAAAATTATTCCTCTGCCCCCTTGGGGACACACTAGTAAAAAAGAATGAGATTATTCCTAGAAAACATTTTGTAATTTAAACTTTAAATTGATCTAGTGATATTATCAAAACACCATTTAATGCTACAGAAACAAAAATGGCGAATAGTTACCTGATTCACTTGGAACTCTGTGCGATTGAATCCTGGCACACTAATTTCACGGAATATCTTCACATCCGGAACCTCAGTATCTAGATTGCATTGATATATTATACGAGAGGTGAGAAAGCTAGTAAACTCAATAAATACTGTACTATCCTCTCGCCGTGCAGATATCCCAGTAACCGAGCCAATATCAATTGGTAACCGATGCAGCAGAGATCCTGTTTTCAAATCTCTTATTTGTAGAACATGCTTCACATCATTCAAGTAACTCACAATCATTTTATCACCATGAACAGCATATGCCGATTCAAGAACATCTTTTTCGGATTCTGGGACGACATCTATCCAACTACTTGGCTCCTTCAAATCTACCCGGACTATTTTATACTTAGGGGCATCTTTATTAGTCAAGAAGGTAAACAATGTGCCATCATTTGCAATCTCATGATACTTTGCATCAAAGTTATCAACAAGCTTAATAAATGGGAGCAGGCTATTTCCTCCTTTAAAACCTTCAAGGCCATCAGAAAATGCAGACATGTCACAGTAGTATACTTTGTTGACAGGATCACAGCTCTCTTCAATATATAAGAGAAGATACTGCAGAATAACATATAAACGATGTCATCTTGGAAGAAATTCACACAAAAATGCTTTCTTCATTCTAGTCACGTGAAAAAAATGAAGTAAATAAACCAGAAAACAAATACATATTTAAACATTCACAATACCTTTCCATCATCAGTCACAGCAGCTTCGAACATGTATTTGGGGTTTTCCAGATCTCTCCAACACAGTATATCTTCAGATTGATCCGTACCCAAGAAATGGTAGTAAAGCTCATGATAAAGGTTGGAATTAGTCTCCGTCCCAGCATCTAAGTTTTCTCCCTCTCTGAACAACAAATTCAATTTTTCTTTCAATCTAAAAACCACGAGGGTTCAATTACATTATCTACTAACATCGCTCAAACAATCAGGAATCCAAAATTATTCAACAGATTCATTCTTCATTTATCTCTCATTACATATAACTAAAAAAAATACAAGCTAGTTACTCCTTCTGGTCAATTAGAGTTCCCAAAATATCACTTGAAACTGTTATGTCTTGATCAACTATACTCAAGCAGCATTTTACTTGAAATTTCAAGGACACACAAAATGTTTACATACTTGGGATTTGGATAACGGCAATAGAAAAATCCTTTGCCGTCATGCGTCCAACTAACACCGGTAAACTTAACCTGCATCATCAAATAACATTAAAAACAATAAACTAAGCCGCCAACACAACCAAAATCAAAATTTATCTAGGAATGGAAACAAAGCCTCACCCAATTTAAGGTATCAGCCTCGACTATCTTATCCTCCACGCGCATGACTTTGATTGTAACCCAATCACTCCCACTCGTACTAAGCCCATAAGCCAAGTACTTAGCATCCTCACTAACCGAAAGCGTTTCGGAATTCAATGACACCGTCCCATCCTCACTCAGCCCATTTGGATCAAGCAAAACATCTGGCTCTCCCTCTAAACTATCCTGTAACCAGCCACAAAACATCAACACCAAGTATTTTTTTAGGAAAAAAAACATCGAAGACATCTTCTAGCTCGTAATACCTGCACATAGAGGACGTTTTGTGCTTGAAGCCCAGTATTGTGAAAGTAAAAATACTTGTTCCCTCGCTTAAACGGCGCGTCATATCGCGGGTGATCAAATAACTTTGTGATTTTCTCACGAAGTTTTTCTCTTGTATCGCATGCATTTAACACTGATTCTGTCAATTTTACTTGCTCCTGTACAAACCCTTTTACCTCCTCTGCGTCAGGATCTTCAAGCCTGCCAAGCCAAATACACTAATTAGTTTCTCGTGGATTCAGCTTTTTGCGCGGAATGGATTCGATTTTTTGGCAAGAATTTAATTACCATCGATAAGGATCTGCGATTTTTACACCGTGGTAATCATCAATTACAGCGTCGTCTCGGCGAGCGATTGGATACTGTAAAGGTTTGTCAAGAGCTGAGAGGGAACCCATTGGTCTTGGTTTTCGACGAGGACAGGCCTCCGAATTGATGAGAATAGGAGATGGAGACTTTGTAGAATGAGATTTTGGAGGTGGTGAGTAGAGAGAGAGGTGAGATTCGAGGGAGAAATAAGTCAGGGGTAAGCGTGGCCTGCGAGTGAGATGGATTTTTATAGGTAGAATAAATCATAAGCAAGTCTTAATAAATAAAAAATATAGTTATTTTAATTCTTATCCCGTGGTCGGGGTTTTTTTTTTTTTGAGAAAATCTGGGAAAAAGTTCCTTTTTATGGATGGACCGCAAAATCAAATGTTGTCGAGCAGAAAATGCCAGCTTGTCCTTTTCAATTGAGTTTTGGTTTCCATTAAATTGGTGGATTTATATATAAAAAAGCTCGAATTCTTTTTTGATTCAAACAAAAAAAAATATGTATAAAAAGCAAACTCATTTATTACCTCGAATTAAGCTTTTAAATTTCTAGTAATCATCGCTGCAAAGCTTTTAAAACGGTACCGTATATAACCAAAAGAAAACGACAAGGACAATTTATTTTTAAGGTAAAAAAAAGTTTACAAACAGATTGCTTCAAGAAGCGACACGTAGTTGGAAATATATGTCCACCACATCGATCCGAAGTTGTTATCGTAATTCATCAAATGTTCCAGATACTTAAATCTGGTAACTAGACATCTAGCCAGGTGACCCACCACTTGCGGAACCCCAGGGGGCCGGAGAAAGCCATGATTTTCGTTACAGGGACATAAGGCCTTTTGGATTGTTGAGCTTAACTGTGCCGTTTTGTACGGCTACCAGAAAAAAGTTCAGTTAGAGACATCTGTTTGTTTGCCAACAATGAAAGTTGAGTGAAATTCCGTGTTTCTTTTCATGTTTTAAAAATATTTTTTTAAAAAAAATTAATTATATTTTTAAATAATTTTTTAATACAATGATATTAAAAATAATTTTAAAAAATAAAAAAAATTATTTATAAATATTTTAAAAAACATCCATTATCACACTATCAGTTTTTTATTAAAAAATTACTTTTGATCCCTTTATTTTTAGAGAAATAATTAATCAATCACTTTGATTTTAAAAAACTCAATATAGAGTCCCTGCATTTCATGTTTATTTGTAGATTTTTTTACAAATTTATTATTTTTTAAAATATTTTTTATTTTCAATGAAATTATTATGATAAAATTAAAAATACATTTAAAAAGAGTAATTTAAAAATCATAAATCATAAAAAAAACATAATAAAAAAACACAATGGTCAAATTATAATTCACTCCTTGTTTGAACACCAAAGATTCTTATAATCTCTCTGACATGACAAAAATGTATCCTTTTAGTGTCATGAACACAGTACGTGCCTTGATCCGACGAAACAGACAAAATCCAAACTGTTAAGCGCAAAATCTTCTATTTTTTACAACGCAGTTGGTATTTAAAAAAAAAAAATTGACAGAGAAATTCCGAAATAACAAAGACAATTTTATTCCATGATGCTAATGGTCAAAAGACATGGTAGTGTTACGATGGCGAGGGCACTTGTTTTTATGTTTAAAAATATTTTTAAATTTTTTAATTGGTTTGAACTTTGACGTGAGTATATAAAAAAATAAATTTTATTTTTAAAAAAATTATTTTAATATATTTTAAAATAAAAAATATTTTTAAAAAATATCCGGTAACTCTCCCCAGATGTTCTCGGGAAAAAACATGGCAACATAGTGACCAATTACGTCGTCAGAATAGACCAAACGCCACCAAATCCTCGAAGCGCCCCCAACTCTTTTCAAAGTTGAAAGCAAATGACCACGCAAGAATGGCGTAATCATGTTCTCATTCACTTGCTACGCGGTTCTCACCTACCGCTTTCCTCGCTACCTCCGAACTCTTCCTTCCTTAAAAGGACAAAGCCTCCTTTCACGTATCCAGACACCAACCTCCCGAGAGAATCCTTTTCGATTCCGAAGTCTCTCCTTGTCAAGACCAAGACCAATGGGTTCCCTCTCAGCCCTCGAACGACCATTACAGTATCCAATCGCTCGCCGAGACGACATTATAATTGACGACTACCATGGTGTAAAAATTGCAGATCCCTATCGCTGGTAATTAATATCTGTCTCTCTGTTTAAATATATAGTCCACTTCGGCGGGAATTCCTAACTTTGACCGAACTGAAGAGTTTGACTTAGTCTCGATGCGAAAGCTGGCCAGAGAATGCACAAGAAATTAATGTAAATTAGGTGTTTTTGGCAGGCTTGAAGATCCTGATGATGAGGAAGTAAAAGGGTTTGTACAGGAACAAGTTAAATTAACAGAATCAGTATTACAGACATGTGATGCGAGAGAAAAACTTCGTGAAAAAATCACCAAGTTATTTGATCACCCGCGATATTATACACCGTTTAAGCGAGGGAACAAGTATTTTTACTTTCATAATACCGGGCTTCAAGCACAAGACGTCCTCTATGTGCAGGTTTAATTAGCCAACATTCGTTTTTTTTAATCACATTGTAATTTTTTTTCAGAAGTTTTTGGTGTTGATGTTTTGTGATTCGTTGCAGGATAGTTTAGAGGGAGAGCCAAAGGTTTTGCTTGATCCTAATGGACTTAGTGAGGATGGGACAGTGTCCTTGAATACACTTTCGGTTAGTGAGGATGCTAAGTACTTGGCTTATGGGCTTAGTTCGAGTGGAAGTGATTGGGTTACAATTAAAGTTATGCGTGTTGAGGATAATATAGTTGAGGCCGATACTTTAAATTGGGTGAGTGAGACTTTGTTTCAGTTCCGAGATGAACTTTGATTTTGGCTGTGTTGGTGGCTATGTGCTAATTTTGTTTACCGTTACCTGATAATGCAGGTTAAGTTTACCGGTATTAGTTGGACACATGACAGCAAAGGGTTTTTCTATAGCCGATACCCTGCTCCCAAGTATGTATCTACCTTTCTAAATGAATTAAGATGGGGGTGTAGGTTATCTAGGCATAATGATATTGACAGATGCTTCGGGGAATTTAATGGATTAAATTGATAACTGCTTTGAATTTCAGTTATTGAAGTGTAAGGTGAGGTGAACAGTGAATTCATTGGAAGATAATGAATTACATGTTGTGTTGAACCCTCTTAGTTTTTAGATTGATATATGAAATTGAGTTTGCTATGTAGGGAGGGAGAAAATTTAGATGCTGGGACGGAAACTAATGCAAATCTTTATCATGAGCTATACTACCACTTTGTGGGTACGGATCAATCCGAAGATATACAATGCTGGAGAGATTCTGAAAACCCCAAATACATGTTTGGAGCTGGCGTGACTGATGATGGAAAGGTATATTGTGAATGCTCATTTATATTACTTGTTTTCTTAACTATTTACTTTATTTTGGCAAATGACAAGAATGAAGAAAGCATTTTTTGTTTGAAATTCTTGGAAGATGACATCATTTTATATGTTATTTTGCAGTATCTTCTCCTATATATTTCAGAGAATTGTGATCCAGTCAACAAAGTATACTATTGTGATATGTCAGCATTTCATGATGGCCTTGAAGGTTTTAAGGGAGGAAACGCCCTGCTTCCTTTTATTAAGCTAATTGATGACTTTGATGCCCAGTATCAGGAGATAGCAAATGATGATACTGTATTTACTTTCTTGACTAATAAAGATGCCCCCAGATATAAAGTAGTCCGGGTTGATTTGAAGGAGCCAAGCAGTTGGATTGATGTTGTTCCAGAATCTGAAAAGGATGTCCTTGAATCAGCATTTGCTGTTAATGGTGATCAAATGATTGTCTGTTACCTGAGTGATGTGAAGTATGTTTTACAAATAAGGGATTTAAAAACAGGATCTCTGCTGCATCAATTACCAACTGACATTGGTTCGGTTACTGGGATATCGGCAAGACGAAGGGATAGTACAGTATTTATTGGGTTTACTAGCTTTCTCACCCCTGGAATAATATATCAATGCAATCTAGACTCCAAGGTTCCTGACATGAAAATATTCCGTGAAATTAGCGTGCCAGGATTCAATCGATCGGAGTTCCAAGTGAGCCAGGTAGCTATTTTCTCTGTTTGCCTTTTTCTAGCGTTAAATAGTGTTCTGATATCACCACTAGATCAATTTAAAGTGTTTTGTAGGAATAGTCTCTCTTTTTTTGCTGGTTTCCCTATGGGACAGAGGAATAATCTCAATAGCTGAGTTGCTTATATGAGATCTTGTTCCTCAAAATAAAATTCAACTTGTATATTCTTCTGCTCTCTTAATGTACAAAAATTAATCTATGTTTCCAACTTGACTGGGCTCTTTCATTTCAGGTTTTTGTGCCTAGCAAGGATGGTACCAGGATTCCTATGTTTATTGTGGCCAAGAAGAATATAGCGTTGGATGGGTCACACCCATGTTTGTTATATGCCTATGGTGGATTTAACATTAGTATTACACCATCATTTAGTGTCAGTCGAATTGTTCTGACAAGGCATTTAGGTTCTGTTTTCTGCATTGCAAATATTCGTGGTGGTGGAGAATACGGTGAGGAATGGCATAAAGCGGGCTCACTTGCAAGAAAGCAGAATTGCTTTGATGACTTCATTTCAGCTGCTGAATACCTCGTATCTGCTGGTTATACCCAACCAAAGAAGTTGTGCATTGAAGGTGGAAGCAACGGGGGGCTGCTTGTTGGGGCTTGCATAAATCAGGTGGAAAGTCTATTAATTTGCCTGATTATATTTTAGTTTCGCCACTTATTTTATTTTGTATTAATTGTGTTTATCACATTTATGTGGCAGCGACCCGACCTCTTCGGTTGTGCTCTGGCTCATGTTGGTGTTATGGACATGCTGCGATTTCACAAGTTTACCATAGGTAGCTGACATCCTGTGGCTCTAACAATAATCATCTTTTGTATCAATTTTTTTCTAAACTTTTGTTCTTTAGGTCATGCTTGGACTTCTGACTTCGGCTGTTCAGACAAGGAGGAAGAGTTCGGTTGGCTATTCAAGTCAGTTGAATTTAGTATAAAAATCTAATGGAATCTTCTTATCTCATTACCGTTGTTTCTGGTCTGGTATCGACGTGTAGTTTAACTTGTTTGGGTCTGACACTTATAGGTTGAATCCCGTGGCGGTTGCCTAGCTTCTAGAAACCACCCATCATAACACAAAATGGATGTTGATGTTTTCATTTACTGTCACTAAATTAAACTATATCTAAACAAATTAGATTGCTGCCATTTTTTAAAAGTCACAGACCCATGATGGTGGTGATTGCCAACTTCGATACCGTTTTTTCCATGAAAAATAGTGGCATATTTACACTGGTGAGCACCTCCATACCGTCCTCCACTCCCCTTCATTCGGCAAGTTAACCCAGGCAGATGGAAATTCTAGTTTATGGTTTTTTATTTCATAAGCCTACCTTAATGTCAAGTTTCGGTAGAATAAAGCATGTTATCTGCTTGGCATGACCACATATTCACAACAAGCACAGTCTGATGATTTCTAGACGCTACTTTTGATTTTTGACTTTCATGTTTTCCTTTCTCAGGTACTCGCCACTGCATAATGTTCGCAGACCATGGGAACAGCATCCTGAACAACCTTCTCAGTACCCATCTACCATGCTATTGACTGCTGATCACGATGACCGAGTTGTACCCTTACACTCACTGAAGTTATTGGCTGTAAGTCCTCAACTTTCTTCAATCCTAATTGTTCTTTGAGATGGTAACACAGACATTGTGTACATCGTGAATTCGGTTTGTAAAAGGGGCAGCATATTTCATGATCAGGCTGTTCAGTCAATAATTTAGTCAGCAGAAAAAAGTTATTACTGTGTTGACGCTTCCCCTCTCAAAATGTGTCCAACTTTTTCTGCCAGACCATGCAATATATTTTGTGCACGAGCTTGAAGAACAGTCCCCAGACCAATCCAATAATAGGTCGCATTGATTGTAAAGCTGGACATGGAGCTGGACGCCCTACTCAAAAATTGGTAATTGTTGCACTAAACTTTAGGTCTTAATTAGATCACCTCCTTATCACAGACTACTGACATTTGGCTCTTGTTCTGCAGATTGATGAAGCAGCTGATAGGTATAGCTTCATGGCAAAGATGTTGGACGCTTCTTGGACAGAGTAGGATCAGATTTGGAAGTAAATCTAGGAAAATATACATTTGATTGATGAAAAAAGGACAAATAGCAAATGCTTTGCTCAAATTGTGTCCATCATTCACAACTACGTAAAAGATTTTCTTTTTGTTATGAATTTTCAGATTCTAATTACCTGAAAATCACATCCCTTTTCTCTCAATTGATTAATGCTTTTACTAGGAAAGAATGGGTTTTGCAACGCGACATTTCGAGAATATTTTTGTCCTCTCACCTAGCATTTTAAGTTTTTAACTTAAAACAGTTTTTTGATACGATAACATAGCTAAAGATCGAATCTTATCATTCCAATAATATCTAATAAAATTATAAAATTAATGGAAGAGACTTGTTAGAAAAAATAAGATCACAGACAATTACTTTCTGAATGCTTTTTTAAAAAAAAAATTGAAGAAATCATGGAATGTGTGTGTGTGTGTTTTATCATTTCATGATAAAATTCAATAATGCTAGGAAACTTAAAAGGTTTTTTCAAATGATGTGAAAATTTCTGGTGGGAGTTTGTAAATTACCATATCAAAGGTGAAGATCTATCCCATTACAATGATTTTAAAAACCTTCTCTGCTTCAAATCTGATGTTTGTTAGTGGAAAAGGTTGTCATGTTGTTTGTTCTCGCTCTCCCAAAAGGTGTCCAGCTTGTTTCCCCGGACCATGCAATATGTTCTGTGCAAAAGCTTGGAGAATAGACAACAGTCCCCAAAAGGTGTCCAGCTTGTTTCCCCAGACCAATAGTTGCTCGCATTGATTGTAAAGCTGGACATGGAGATAGACGTTCAGCTAGAAAATTTTTAATAATTCTTGGTTCTAACTTCTCGTTATCACCCCCCTTATAGCAGGCTATTGACATTTGGCTATAGTTCTGCAGATCGGTGAAGCTTTCGGTAGGTATAGCTTCATGGCAAAGATGGCGGAGCTTCTTGGAATGAGTAGGATTAGATTTGAACGTCAAAAGAAAAACAAAAACTACGTCTGATAAGAAAGATGGACACAGAATAACAAAATGTTATATACCGGTGTGCTCTGCAAAATTTTCTGCCCGTGAGCAAAGAAGGCCAAATTTTCTTACCACATTCACGGTCAGATGCAAGTCATAAGAGAGAGATAAGGACTGTTTTTCTACTCCCTTTTCAAGATTAGTTGTTAAACCGGGAAACTTAAGATTTAGAGTTTGATTTTGATTGAGTTTTTAATTGATCTGATAAAACCTGGTTAGTTTTATTGAATTTTTATTAATTTAATTAACCTGATTAAATCTGGCTCAGCATTAAAAGAGAAAAAAAATGATGAAACAACATTAAATCTTCTTATGAGTTAATAGGATGATCCAGTAACTTAGATTTTTTCCTGGTGAATTCTCGAATCGAGTCGGGATCAGGGTCAAACTAAGATTTCTCACCCCAAACTAGAAGCAAACAGGCTTTTTCTGAAAGATTAGGGACTAAGTTGACATTTGGCCAAACCAAGATTTCTCACCCCAAACCAGAATGCACAAACCGAATCCAAATACACAGAGGAGTTTTCCTCACCTCACACACGCCATTTCACTGTGACTGTATCTCAAACTTGGAGCTTAACGGTCATTTCATGGCAATTAATCCGCAGAGCTTTCTACGGTTTCTCCCTCTCACCAACAAAATCACCAGGTACCGCTTGCCTCACCTTCTTCGTTCTTCAATTCCATTTTCAACCCGAGACCCTCCTCAATTTGCCACTTCTCATGATAATATCAAGCTTCAATCTAATCTCGACGAGGATTACGTCCTTAATGAGCTCTCTAATCTGTTACCAATCTCTCCTAAACCACCGATTCCTCACCCATACAACCATGATCGTTCGATCAGTAATAAGGAAGTCGAAATCAGACCCGTTTTTGATCGATTTTTATCCCCTGAAGAGAAATTAAGAGGAGTTTTTTTTCAAAAAATCAAGGGTAAATCTGGAATTGAACGTGCTCTAACAGAATGTAGTGTGGATTTGAGTCTTGATGTTGTTGCTAAAGTGCTTAATAGAGGGAATTTAGGCGGGGAAGCTATGATTATGTTTTTTAATTGGGCAATTAAGCAGCCTATGATAAGTAAGGATGTTGACAGTTACAATGTAGTCATTAGAGCACTAGGTAGAAGAAAATTTATTGATTTTATGGTGAAATTTTTGCATGAGTTGAGGGTAGAAGGTGTGAGCATGAATTCGGAGACGTTGTTGATTGTAATTGATAGTCTAGTTAGGGCCCGTCGAGTTTATAAAGCAATTCAAATGTTTGGGAACTTAGAAGAAGAGTTTGGGTTCGAGCGTGATGCGGAGTCATTGAATGTGCTTTTGCAATGTTTGTGTAGGAGGTCTCATGTAGGTGCTGCGAATTCGTACTTCAATTCGGTGAAGGGGAAAATACCATTTAATTGTATGACGTATAATGTAATCATTGGTGGGTGGTCGAAGTTTGGTAGAGTTAATGAAATGCAGAGGGTTTTTGAGGAAATGGAAGAAGATGGTTTTAGTCCTGATTGTTTGAGTTTTAGTTACCTTCTTGAGGGGTTAGGAAGAGCTGGTAGGATTGAAGATGCTGTTATGATATTTGGTAGTATGGAGGAGAAAGGTTGTGTACCAGATACTAATGTTTACAATGCCATGATTTCTAATTTCATTTCAGTTGGGAATTTTGATGAGTGCATGAAGTATTATAGGTGTTTATTGTGTAAGAATTGTGATCCCAATATTGATACTTATACAAGAATGATCTCTGGTTTGATCAAAGCTAGTAAAGTGGCTGATGCTCTTGAAATGTTTGATGAGATGTTGGATCGAGGGATGGTTACTAAAACAGGGACAGTAACTTCTTTTATTGAACCTCTCTGTAGCTTCGGCCCACCCCATGCTGCAATGTTGATCTACACAAAGGCAAGAAAAGTTGGCTGTAAAATATCACCGAGTGCTTATAAGCTATTGCTGATGCGGCTTTCTAGATTTGGTAAATGTGGAATGATGTTAAAAATATGGGATGAGATGCAAGAAAGCGGTCATTCTTCCGACATGGAAGTTTATGAATACCTCATCAGTGGACTTTGCAACATAGGACAGTTTGAAAATGCTGTCCTTGTCATGGAGGAGTCTCTGCGCAAGGGCTTTTGCCCAAGCAGGTTCATCTGTAGCAAACTAAATAACAAACTGCTTGCTTCAAATAAAGTTGAGAGAGCTTACAGGCTATTTTTGAAGATCAAACATGCTCGTCACAGTGAAAATGCGAGGAGATGTTGGCGTTCTAATGGCTGGCACTTTTGAACAGGCATCTTCTGTATTGACAAGTATATTGTGTCTTTCCTTCTCTGTTTCCCCTGCAGCATGTACTTGTTTTTCCCTGGAGATTGTCACAATCATTATATTGTGCAATATTTCTTATGGTCACTTGCAATGAACAACTGATAGAATCCAAAAGTTCTTCTAAATAGTTACATCACTAATCTTCTGTTACTCAGTCATGGGCGTTAGAAGTGAAGAATTGTTTTTTTCATTGAGAATTTGTTTTAGTGACATCCTTCCTGTCTATATTTAAGGTTTCGGTTTATTGAGTGCAGGCGGCAGTTTTCAGCGGGAAATTTTTAGATGCTTGTGGATTACAGAGATAAACTGTGAAGTTCACAATGGTGAAAAGCCAACTTCTCGTGACTCTGAACTGCTGCATAAGAAACTTGACCTCATCAATTTACGAGCTATCCTTATTTACTTCCTTGGTAGTCTTTTGTTTGCTGAGGTTCTCTTTACCTGCTTGGGAAGTGTAGTTCATATTGTTTAGTTCCTGTAATTGGATAACTTTCTGATTTGACTTTGTTTATCGGTCTTTCTAGTTGCCCAGAAGTTGTCACTATGGGGGACCAGGTACTCAGGTTAATGGGAGGACTTCAGTTGATCCTCCCACCAGAGGTGTTTGATAGACTGCTATGTAGCTCAGCCCGGGGTAGTATACTGGAGTAGATCCTTACTTCTTCAGTCTATGTTTTGCCATGAAATTAGATGAGGGTTGATTTTTTATCTGTCCGCAATGAATTATGACAAGTTGTGAATGGTGGACATTTTCTTATCACATTTGATTGGATTTACTTTTAAAGTGTTAAGAGGAAGAAAAGTGCATGGATTTTGCTGCTTTTAGCATGCTATCTTGTGTATTTGTGCTGTTGAATTTCATCAAATTTCTGAATTTTCATTCTTTACCAGCAAACTGGCCTTCTTTAGCATAGCAATAAATTTATATAGCTGTTTTTCTCTACCTATTCTTAGTGATAAACTGTTCACTTTATCATACTAGGAGTTATCTCTTATATTCGACCTGCCTTTTGTTTTTAACATTTGAACTTCTTTCCTTATGCAGAGACCATTGTCATTATGGCATAAACAAAGGAAGAGAGAATCATAAGAAACCCTGACTGTAACTCTCTGAGTGAGAAAGTAGCAGAGTGACAAGAAAACGCACAGCTGGAAATGGAAAATTTAATCCAGGAGCCAGATTCAGAAGGCCAAAACCTATAATTAGCACCTCACATTGAGAAGGATGCATAGTGCGGATTTGTACATAGAAGGCAAGAAAGAGAGATCAAACCCTGGATTCCTATATGACAGACATGAGGTGTTCGTGTAGCAAGACTTTTCAGGAAGGGGTTCTCTGTACTTTGAACTTAGATGCATGTTTGTCTTGCTTCTCTGTTTGTCCATCCATGACAGCACGACCTTGATTTGGATTTGATGTGTCATAAATCAGTCCTGTTTAAGAGTGGTTCCGTATTTCGGGAACAATGATCTCCATAGCCAAGTGCTTACCTGATGGTATAGGTGTTGACCTCATTGACTCTGGCTGTTGTGCCATTAGAGTGAGGAGCGAACCATGACGGTTGGGGCTGGGTAATCATCAGTCAGGTGCGGCCTTGATGTTCATTTTATTTTTCAAGGAGCTTGCTGCTAGCCCACGTGGTGTTTCCATTGATGTACAACTTCTGGAAAACCTATCTGAGCTGTTGGGGATAACATTTCTGGTTGCGGTTTATATTCATGTAAAGACCAAGGTAATATAACTGGTAGTGCCTCTTCGGTTCAAAAATTTATACTAAGACGAGATAAGATTAATAACAATCGTACACGGTGAAATATATAGATTTACGAAACCTAGTAAATTGCAAATACATTCAAGACTAATGCAAACCTCTTTGCTTGAATTAACAGGAGTGACTAATATTTGGAAAGCTCCTACCTGCAAATAAAGGGAATATGCCTGATTTATGACTTGAGAAGCACCATTCAATTCTCCCCCAGGGATTAGCAACGTCGTTTGCTAGGTTCAAGACGACCACCGGATAGCTTTTGATCTTTTCTTCTTATTGTTCGTCACAATCAACCAGCAGTACGTTTAAGGTTGTGCAGGAAGACTTCCGTTCCAATAAGTTTAAGAATGGAGGATCAGGCTGAAAATGTACGTCATGGATGTCTGTTATGTTTTTTTTTATTAAAAAACTCATAATGTTTTTCTTTTCTTAATTACGTAATGCATTAAGTCCCTGAAAACATGAACAGTCTGATTATTTTCTGATTTTCTAATATTTTAGACAGCATAATTGACAATTGCGTACAAATTGCTATGCACCCAAATTTCACAGTGCATGCATGTGATCCTATTATGTAAGAGAAGATCCAATGTATGTTACTGGTTGGTGATATCAACTATGTTATATTTTCAGTCTGGCATGTTTAGCTAATCAAGCTGAGCCGGGGGCTACGTTGCTTTCGCCATTGTCTACAGTTATCCTGGACATTTTTCTTTTTTATTTTATTTCTACTGGGATCCTGATCTGCACACTCAGTAACATGTCTAAAGATGCCTTTTCAGGTTCTGCTGTGCTCTGCGCATCATTTTTTCCCTCTTCTGACCAGTGCTTGGATTCAGCTTCATAAGGATGTTATTGCACTGACTGTATACTCATGGGATTCTCCATCCAAGGTATGGTGTTTGACATGACTAAGAGTGCTTTGCTTTCAGACTTTATTTTCTTTATGCTTTCAAATTAGCTTCTTGTATAAATTGAGCGTATTTAGTTACAAAGCTGTTACGATTCTCTTTTTACAAAGCTGTTATGATTCTCTTTATTGTGTTTCGTTTACTAGTTTATAGGTAGCTCAACTATTTGTTCTTGCCGTTATTGAAAGAGTAAAATGACTTAAAGAGAAAAAAGTTGTCAGTGACAGCCATGACCCACCCTATGACTCTTATCAGGTATCTAGCATGGTTAAAAGGAAAAGGTTGTTAGTGCAGTACTGATTGGACTTCGTAAGTGAAGGTGGGCTATATATGGCTGAGATTCTTGGACTGTTCTTTCGTTACATGTCATTGCAGATGAAAACAGATAGATTTGAAGGGTAAACTGTAGTTTAGGCTTTCGTTTTCTTTTTCATTTATAAAATTTTTTATTCTTTTCAATTACAATTTCATATTTTCGGTTTTTCATTTTGATATTTAGTTTTTAATTTTTTTTTATTTTATGCTTGTCACTTTCATTGATTTTTTTTTTAATTTTAGCATTTAATCAAATTTTTTTATTTTATTTTTTTAATTTGACCCTTATTTTTTTTATTTTTTTAAAAAAACTATTTTTCAATTTAATTAAACCTTCAATTGAAATTTTTTATCCCTCCAATTAATGTTTTTTCCTACCTTTATTTTTTTCAATTCTTTTGTGTAATTATTTTTTTTCTGATTTTATTTTTTGATATTTAATTTGTTAGAAATTCAGCTTCATAAAATCTTATTATTCTACATTAGTTTTTTTTTAATATTAGTTTTATAATTTTTTTATAGGTTTATCCCGGTCTCATGACGTAGTTAATAATTTTTGCATGTTTTTTTAATCTTTTTTTTAATTATTTTGTTTCTATTTTATTTTTCAAAGTATTATTCTAGTTTATTTATAAATTTTTTATATAAATGAAGTTTATTTTTTAATATAAAAATATTTATTTTTAAATTATATTATTAATGTTTTCAGCTATGTATAATATTTTTATAGTGTGAGTTATTTCTATAAATTTATTATTTATTTATTTAAATAAATAAGTGCAGTATATTATTCTGGACGTCGTGATTATCGTGGTACATAGAGCAGGTAGCCTTGTGTATAGCTTCAGAACCTGAGCACATGTCAGCATTTTGCTCTGCACTCTTGTGATAATTAGATTTTCTTTAACTGGCATGCAGTAACTTGATGTTTTTCATATGGATGGAAGGATAAATCCACTACTGAAAAACTTTGGAGTCATTATAGCTAGTAGATTCTTGGGTCATTATCATGCATCAAATTTAGTGATTGCTAGAGATTAATTGCCTGCTATGATTACAGGTTGGCAAGTCTCCTGATCAATCTAAGGCGAAGCTTGCGCTTGTAAATCCAATGGCTTTCCTCTCTCTTTTTTGACTCTGGTTGGTTTTGCTGAATTCACACATCTTTACTTGGACGTTATGACCTGGGAAAGGCTTATTATACCACAGACAAAACTTGCCATACCCCAGACAGCTTGCAACATTTTATTTCAGTGGTCGGTTTGCTCATCTGTCTCATCGCCGTCCCCATTTGCTTTACTGTCATTACCATTGCCAGCATCCTTGTTTCGCTGCCACGAATTGCTAAAGCTCTGCTGGATTGGAGGAAGCTTCAGAAGGTTTCTAATTTATGCACCACCCACTTTCGATTGCTCTTCCAGGGTCTGGCTTGGAACTGGGAAAGCTCAGATGATTATGGCGGAATTATTCAGGGCAGATCCATTCTTTCTGAGATTTTGTTTTACAGCTTACTTGTATATCACAACAAAGCTCAGCTTTTCAAGGTTTTGGTGGGCATGACTGGTATTTTTAGGCAACCATATTAGGTCATGTGTATAATATACACTTGTCTCTCATCCTCACTCCTCTTTTGACCATGTGGCCGAAACCAACAGCATTGTCTATCCAGTGATTTTCCTTTTCCAGCACACTAGCATTGGCTGTAACTTCCAGCCCACCCCTCCCTTCAACTACGCGCACAGTGTTTCGAAACGATATTTGGAATTGTAGTCTAAGTTATTTTTCAAAATAGTTTATTTAAAAATATATTAAAATATTTTTTATATTTTTATTTTATTTTTTAAATCACTATACTAAAATTATCATAAAATATTTTTAAAAAAATACATCTAAAAATAAAAACAAAAACAGAATCAAACACTTCCAAAGGCTTGATTAAGCCCAGGTAGCGAAGAGAGTGGCAAGCCATTCACATCTGTCATGTATGAAATTAAATAACAATATGCCCTGCTTGAGAAGATCATTATAACAGTTTTTTTGAAGCAACTGGGGCCATCTTTGAAAGACATTTTTTCCTTGTTGACGTAAGAAATTAAATCACAATATAATTTAACTAGTGTTGACGTGTGATACAACTTGTAGTACAAAACTTTCTAATTTTTCAATTTTGCTGGAACATCATTGGTTTGTAGACCTGTTTATTCTACCATTCATTTTTCACCATCTGTCAGCAAACACAGAAAGATTTCGGAACAGGACACAATTTAGATTTTACTCCATCGTACTGAAAACGAATACTAGCACTAAATGAAACGAATAAAACCTTGTCGCACGTGTGTGTAAAAATAGGTTTTGATAATTCTTATTCAGTGAAAACGAAAACAAATTATTTTAGTTATAACAGTAATAACAACAAAAAAAAAACTATCAATTAGAAAGAACTAATTTGCATATTTAAGGATCGGATTTTTTTTAATGTAAGAAAAAAATATTTGAGTTATAGAAAAATATCTAATATTATTATTAAACTTAACCTAGCATGTCAACTTTCAAGCCTTCAAATCTAATTTCTTAGAGGTTGGATTTAAAGTTAAATTATGTAATAATTTTTAAAATATAACCTAATAAACTTGGTTAATCGAAAAATAATCTAGGTAACTAGTAAAAAAAATATATGGATGAAACTAAAAGAAAAAAAAAAGAAAAAAATGATAAAAAATAAAAAGTCACTCAACTCAATTTCTTATCTAATTCAAGATTTAATTTAAACCATGTGAGAGTCTCTACAACATGATTTAGTCATCTTAGTCAATATAAAAATAACTTAGCTTATAGGTAAAAAAAAAAAAAGTTTAAGAACAAAATTAAAGGAAAAAAATCAGCTAACATAAAAAAAAAAAACACCCAACCTAATTCTTGACCATAAAATCATGCAAATGATGACACAACATAACTTGATTAACTTGATTATCCCGATTAATCTAAATGGCTATTTTTTAGAGAAAAAATGTAATTGATGTAAAAAAACAAAAAACAAACAAAGAGAATAAACAATAAAAAAGGGGTGCGCTTGTTTTAGATGCATGACACCCCATATATTCTAGTGCAGGGAAGAATTTACAATCTAAAATAAACAATTTTAGTTTTCAAACCTGCCTAAATTTTGGTGGGTTGATATCATAAATCTATGACTCGGAGTTTAATCAAGGCCAAGTATTAAAAAACTGTTTGGCATTGAAATAGGTTTTTTTTTATCAAACCATGAGTCAAAAATATTTGATTAGCTAAATAAAATGTTTTTCTTATACTAGTCCCATGCATGATTATACTTAAAATAACTTATTTTTTTATTAATAATTTTTTTTTATATTGTATGGAAAATTTTATTTCGTAGCAATCCTTTCCAAACACATGAATTTTTAAATTTACTTTATAAAACCATAATTAAAATTATTTTTTTAAACTCCAATCATAAAAACTATAGCAATACAAATATATACGGACTTGAATAAAAGAATTCATCTAATAAAATTTAATTGACTCCATCGAGTTTACAGTGATTCAAAGATTCTTACTAAATCCAGTCGAAACTCGATTGATTCGCACAAGAAATTAAAAGAAGAAGAAGAAGAAGAAGATAAATATATAATAATATTATTTTAATAAAAGTAATTAACTTGTACTTAAAATTGAGCATTTCTCGTGTCCATCCTCTTGCAAGCACGAATTACTATTACAGCGGTAATAACACCAGCATTAGTGCATGGACCTAAGCCCATCGCCCACATAAATGAAAGGTGGCCCACTCAATCATCACTTTCACCAGTATATTATTATTATATTAATAATTTACACGCGCCATAATAATAATTGAAGGAAAAACCGCTTCTGTCCTCCTGGTGGGGACTGCTGTTAGCAAAAGCTAGCGCCAACATTGCGCAATTAAACAGAGAGAAAGAACGAAGACTCGGTGGCGACTGCAAACCTTTATTTGCCTTTCACTTTGTCAGTCTCTTTATTTTCTTCGATTCAATCCAGTTATCTCTTCTCACCGGAGGAAATGTATGGTCCTGATTAGCTGTCCTAACAATCTATTTGATCTTGATCAATGGGGAGTGTTTCATCTGAGGATTGGTTAGATCAAGTGAGCGAGAGGTTCGAGCTCGACAGTTACAGTTTGAGTGCGGATGTGAGCGGATCGGAGAGTGACACTTCTAGTAGTAGCTTCTCATGCCGTCGTTACGATCTCCAAGGCGGCGCTTCCACTTCTTCGACTCCTGATTTCGCCGGTAATTCCGTTTCTCCTCTGCCGCTTCCGGTGATGCTGCCGGTTGTTGGTGATAGACATGTTGCTGCTAGTCCCGATGAGATGGAAGAGAAACCGGAGACTGACTTGTCTGGTTAGTTAATTAATTATTTTTGCTTAATTTAATTTTTTTAATCTATTTTTGGAGAATTTCTCTTACTGTAACTGCAGTTTTCTAATTTTTTTATAATTATTTTTGGCTGTTGCAGAAATTGCACCGATGAAGGAGAGGTTTGCTAAGCTTCTGCTTGGAGAAGACATGTCAGGTGGAGGACAGGGAGTTTGCACCGCCGTCGCCATCTCCAATGCCATCACCAATCTTTCTGGTTAGTGAGTGAAAGAAATGAATATTGAATACTGCTTTGGCTGTAATCAATTGAAGAAAATTGCTGAGATTTATGTATTTGTATGTCGGTATATATTTGGCAGCTTCTGTGTTTGGGGAGCTATGGAGATTAGAGCCATTAGCGCCGCAAAGAAAGGCAATGTGGAAGCGAGAGATGGAATGGCTTTTATGCATAAGTGATTCCATAGTAGAGCTTGTACCATCAATGCAGGAATTTCCTGGTGGCGGGACTTATGAGGTTATGGTGCCTCGGCCACGTTCGGATTTATATGTGAACCTCCCGGCACTCAAGAAGCTTGATGCAATGCTGATTAGCATTCTTGATCTGTTTTCTGAATCTGAATTTTGGTATATTGATCGTGGGATAGTAGTTGCTGGTGATGATGATGTGGAGAAACTTCCCATGTCGTCCTCTTTGAGAAGACCATCAATCAGACAGGAAGAAAAATGGTGGCTTCCTTTCCCTAAAGTTCCCCCGGCTGGTTTGTCGGAAGACACAAGAAAGAAGCTGCAGCAGTGTAGGGAGTGCACAAGCCAGATCCTTAAGGCTGCGTTGGCAATTAACAATAGCGTGTTAGCTGAGATGGAAATCCCAGATACTTATTTTGAGAGCTTGCCCAAGGTATGGGAACCCTGCCCTGCTAAATCGAATTCCATTTATGCTTGATGAATCAGCTGTGGATTTGAATGAATACTGTATGGTCAAAGTTTTATTAATCTTTAGTTTCCACCACATCCATGCCAAATAAATTCCTTTTCTATCTGTTAAGCAGTTTGGTCTGAGGTTTTTATGTGGTTGACATGTTGTCCCTGGTATAAAATGTATTGCTAATGTGCTCATGTTAGTTAAAGAAGAGAGTAATGCTGTTCCTGTATTTCGTTTTTTGTCTGCTAGGCATGTATGTATAATTTCCGCGCTGGCATTCTTTTTATGTGAATGAACATTTGCATCTGCTGTACATTGTACTCTGAACCATCGAAAGGAATTAACTCTTACAAAGGACACAATGCTGTTGCTTATGCTATGTCTTTATGTTTCCTATGAAATATACGCTGTTAATTTTGGTTTTCGTGGCCTTTTCTGTTTTTTTTCTTTTTTCAGAGTGGAAAAGCTTGCTTGGGCAGAATCATGTATCATTATATAACTGCCAAACACTTCTCCCCAGATTATCTTTTGGATTACTTGGACTTGTCATCAGAATTCACCACTTTGGAAATAGCAAATCGGATAGAGGCTGCCACGCATTTCTGGAACCAAAATTACCAGAACAAGCACTCAATTCGTGCAAGGAATGGAAAGTCATCATGGGGTGGCAAGGTGAAAGGATTTGTAGGTGAAATACCCAAAAGGAAACTTCTAGCAAAACGAGCCGAGGTTCTCATACATAACCTAAGGCTACGTTTTCCTGGCCTCCCACAGACTGCTCTAGATGTAAACAAGATCCAATATAACAAGGTATTGCCTGCAAATTATTACCCATGCATTGTAGCCTTTTTGCTCCTGTTTGCTGATGACACGTTTCCATACCTCCAGCTCACACATGAATAAAACAAATTGTTTCTCTGCTGCAGGATGTAGGGCATGCTATTATGGAGAGCTATTCTAGGGTGATGGAAAGCTTGGCCTTCAACATAATGGCAAGAATTGATGATCTCCTATATGTGGATGATGCCACCAAGCAACGTGCAACAGCAGAGTCAGCATCTCCTTGTTTTCAGGGAAAGTGTGGTGGTAGACCATCCAAACAACAGTGGATATCATCTAGCCATGCTTCTTTTCAACACAGTCCTTGTTCCTCCGCATCGACAGTGCCAACTGTCGGCTCTTCCAGTGAAGTAATCAGGACTACTAATGGAAGGAAACCCTATTCTTCGAAGAAGAGCAATTTAAGGGACTCGTTAGATCAGACTCTAGAGAAACTAACATTTTGACTTGTTAGATCATTATCGTCCTGTTTGGACGACCTCAGTACTAAAAGACTTCTTACTGCTTCTGAATCTAGTTTAGATAGCTTGTTCCACTAAGCACAGATTTGTGCACAATATGTATATCCTTTTGCAAAGAGACAGCATACCCATAAACATTATGGACATAAGACCGAACTCTGGTTTCGTTTGCTAGTTTCCTTGTCGGTTTTGGAGGTTAGAGTAATGTGTAATAGCAAAACTTTTTAAGTCTTTTTATTGGGAACTTCCCTGCAACTGAAGAAAGTCCATCAGTATTGCTGATATGGGAATTTGGGCATCCTTAGATGAGCTTCCCTGCTAACTTGAAAGTTTGAGTTTGTCGGAAGAAACAAATGTTTGAGCTTCAACGAGCACCTTCTATTCCAGGCTATCCAGAGAGAGATTGTTTCAGTGCAAGAAATCGAATCCATGGATCGAAATTCAGAGGAGAGGACCCATTTTCTTGAGAAATATACGGAGCAGGATTGTCCCAAAGCTGATCAGGTTCAGTTGAATAGTAATCGTGCTGGATATTGGACTGTGCACTGCACCGGCGTGTATATACGGGGTTGTAGCTGATCTGGATGGGCCTTGGATTAAAAAAATTAAAAAGTAATATGGCTATGGGGTTGGATGATTGCAGGCCGATCTCTTGGGACCAGTGTTCCAATCCTGAAAGAATCAGTAGGGAATGCCAGTCCTCCTCGGATGACATGTCTCTAGGGCATGTCTGTTGTGGTTGATGCTTAGGCAAATAACACACTGTAGCAAAAAAGGTCAAATTCTCCCATGCTGGGCTTTGCACAAAATAACACACTGTTGAGGTTTGCCAGGGATGTAACTCGAAAGGGGCAAAATACCTCCCTGAGCTTCGGGAATTGGCAATTTTCCCCGTAAAAGTATCTCGAGTTTCAATTTTACCCCTCTCAATTCCTCCTCCTCTACTTTCATATTTTTGTGCCGCGTGGCATAATACAATTAGGCATTTGGAAGCCTTGCGAGTAGTCTATAGCTCCTCCAATTCCTCTTTCTTTTGGTTCATCCTTCGTACGGTCTGAATTATTTATAAAAAAAATACATTATCAAAATAAGTAAATTTCGCCTTCAAAAAAAACGCAATGACTTGTACGAAAAAGGTTACAATTTCCGCACATATAGAAGATTAAAAAATACTTAAATAAATTTCGAATTTCATTGTTTTTTTTTGGTACTTAGATGTATTTGTTTTTTATAAAATAGTTTTTTAAAAATTATTTTCAAAACTTATTTTTTTATATTTATTTGTTATTAAAAAAATTAGTCAAAAAAAATAATTTACAGTCAAAAAAATTTAACTTAATTTTCAATAAAGTATTTTTTTTATTTTGAATAAAAAACATTTTTTAAAAATTATAAAAATTATAAAAATATCATATTATTTATTAATTATATTAAATTTAATTCTCAAACTTTTAATTACTATATATATTTTATTTTCAATATTTATTTTTTAATTTTATCTCTTAAAATTTAGTTTTTATATTAATTTTAATTTTAATTTTTATAATTATTATTTATTTTTATCTTATTATTTTTTAATTAAAAAATTTCATTTATTAAATTTGATCATTATTTTTTAGTAGTTATTTATTTTATTTGAAATAATTGATAAAATATTAATTTTTTTATTTTAATTTTTTTAATTCAATCTTTATTAATTATTATTTATTTTATTTAAGATAATTTATAAAATTATATTTTTTTCAATTTAATTTTCATTTAATTTTTTAATTTATAAAACTTGTTACTCATTATTTTAGTAAATTTTAAAAAATAAAATATTTTTTAATTTATTTTTTATTATTCTACCAAACATAAAAAAAAATTTAACTCAATTCACTTTTTTAAAATTACCTTTCAAAAAAAAACTATTTTCCAATCAATAACCAGGACTTAGTCCAATTTATTTCTCGATGGAGCCCTAACGGGACACAGTGCTGCCATTACTCAGCCATATTATGGTCCCCGATGGAGTAATTATCACCATCGTAGCGGCTCTTATTTTACCCTTTTATTGAGTGTCCTACCATGCCTAAGTTGTAGTCACATTAGAACCAAAAGGGATTCAAGAATCAAAATCACTAATACAAAATTCTATGAGCAAGTGCTTAAAGCAAAAAAGCTTGACTTTCAAACATCAATGTGGAACCTTGAGTGGAGCCACCAGGTAATGTAACCCTCTATTATTATTCCAAACATTTCCATGCGTCTGATGACCAACTGCACAAAGCACAAACACAACAAATTATTTAAGAAATTTTGCCTTTACATCATCAGAAAAGACACTCAGCGTGTGGACTTGGGAGCATATCCTAGAAATGGAGTGTTTGGCATGCCCTAACGCAAGACCTGCCCAACCAAGTTAGATATTAGTTGAATATCTGACAATGAGGGGAAAAACAATGGTGTGTGGTAGACATGCATGAAACCATGAACACTGAAATATCTAACTAGATACTTAGCATGATTTTATGTGTGTGTGTGTGTGTGTGTAAAGGAGGCAGATAGGAGATCATTGCAGTGGGGTTTTGATTCAAAGACCTTCGATGCATCCTGTAATTAAGTTGAGTTAGCTAGCCCCAATGAATAGTTTGTATGATCACTGCAAAGAGGCATGCATCGTCCAGCCTTCAACTCTGAGTCTTTAATTTAACTAATCTTAAGTACGATCACTTGAGTTAGATTCAATGGGGAAATAAGAGATAGGTAAGCCTAGATGATGAGATGAAGAAAGCAATGCATTATGCACTGTTAGATTATGAAATATACGCAAGTATGAAAGGAGCAATCACACCCAAAAACCCAGGAAAAAGACATAGGTTAAGATCTACAAAGTGAAAACGAGGATTCTGTGCATGTGATGCCTCATTACCTCTAATTTTCTGCAGAAGATTGAACCGTGGCAATCAACAGGTGATCAAAGCAAGTCTTAGTGATTTTCTCTTTCATTGATTTTTTTGTGTTTTATTAGGAAAAGTAGATGGTAAAGTTGGAGCCATCAAGTAGAAGCCTAATAAGGGCCAGAAGCTGCCAGTGCATGACCACCATGATCAAAAAAACAAAAGAAGCTTACCACCAAAAAAACAGAAGAAGAAGAGGTTGCTAGAGATCATCATAGCGCATGCTGATTCTTTACCTTTGATCTTTCTTTCTTGCAAGAGAGAAAGAGCTAAAAGATGACGATGATGACAGAATAATCACGAGGGTTTTACAAAGAGAGACCAACAGAGCTCAGTTGGCAGTATGCCCACCTCCATATGAAAGAGATATTCTAATTTCTATAGATAGGAGGTGGACAGAATGCCAATAAACTCTGTAAGAAACCCTTTGCGAAACCCACATGAAAGCTAGCTAGCTAGCTGTCCTAGTATTCATCACTGGAAGGCACGGACACATACAAGGAAAACAGACAGCTAGAGAGCGATAACAATCCCTGGGGAGTAGATATGGGACAGATGGGTGCTATTTAAGAAGAACGGATGGTATAGCACAGTAAATAAGAGAGAGAAAGAGGGAGGGGCTGGAGGTTATGTCCTTGTGGGTGTAATTAATTGAAAAGGGCAGTGAGGGGGGAGAAGAAGAGGTGAATTGAAGACTTAAAAAGACAAGAGAAATAATTAATAATTGTTTGGGAGCAGTAATAATGATCAGATTAGACGGTTCCTTCCATATTCCTATGAATTACAGGTCTGTAAGACATCGTATATATTAAGAAGGATCAGGGAAAGAATCATCATCCTCCCTCGTTACTGATGAAAACCCTCCAATCCCTCCTTCCCTCCAGTCTTTTCCTGCGTTCCCTCACCTCTTAATCCTCGTTTCTGATGCCACACGCCTCTTTCTCTCTCAGAAACTGAAGAAATACGAGGGTTTGGTCTTTTGTCTAATGGCTAAGAAATACTAGCAGGGAAGTTTGTGTATGGTTTAGTGATGAGTTGATAACCCCAACGTAGTGACAAAACAAGAGCTAGCTAGATAGCAAGATCAGTTTCAGATTAAAAGCAGCTTTTCTTTGGATTTAAAGAGGGTGGTCTCCCTGCTATTTTCACTCCTACTTTATTAAGATGCTACCGACCCATTCCAGTGAGGCATGTAGAAAAGCATAGCTTTATAGGGTCCATCTGTCATCATTCATCAGAACCGTTCCCTGGGATTTGCATTATTATAGGGCACGCATAGGGTTACCAGGAGCCGTTTGATTCATGGAGGGCCATTTTAACGCCTGCAGTTCATGAAAATGGGTGCTGCTAGTGCTGATTGTCTCTAGGATAGTTGCATTGTCTCTAGGATATTGGCTCCACATGTTCGATGGGATAATGAAGGGCGATCAGGCGAGCAAGTGAGGACAAAAGTGATCTATAGTACTAGGGCATCGTCCCTTGGCAAATGCGGCTGGTCAAATTAGTTGCCCTTGCACATCATCCTTCCTTCCTTCCTTCACACGGTGAATGAATCATGTGGCCGTCAGCAATTAGAATTTTAGGTTGTAATTACGTGTGGGGTTATGCTCTTTTTTTTTTAGCATGCAGAAACAAACTAATTGAAAAAAAATAAGAGCAGTCAATATAGAATTTTATTGAATGGAGTTGCCATACAAAAATTATATTTTCAAATGAAAATTTTATTTTTAAATAATTTGTTATTGTGATTGTGGTTATTTTTTAAATTATTTTTTATTAAGAATATATTAAAATAATATTTTTTTATTTTTAAAAAATTATTTTTAATATCAGTGCATTAAAAAAATTTAAAACAAAGAAATAAAAAAATTTAATTTTCTTAAAAACAAATACTAAAAAAAAGAAAACAATAAAAATTTCAAACAAGACATGAAATCTAAAAGAATTAATAATCATAAAATTAGCTCAAACAATATTTTCTCATTTTAATTTAAATATCTTCTATATTTTAATTATTTTTAATAAGCGGACCTTTCCATACAAATAATCTTATAAAATCTCTTAAAAATTTAATAATTAGATTAAAAATTATAAATTACTAAACACTCCACGCAACCTAGATATTTTCTTGGAGTTTGTCATTTCTCATCTATATATAATTATTCTCATAATGATATCTATATAGTCTAATTATAATAGGTCTACAATTGACTAATCACAACCACTTAGCATCCATCAGTAATGACTTTGGCGCCCAACTAATTTTTATACTTAACCCCAATATTCTCTTAAACTCCGAATGTTAATCATGCCAATGTGGAAATGGGTAAAATTCCTTGACTCCAGTTCTCGAAGACAAGTTGAGTGACATAGTCTAAATCCTTATAATCCACGCAACGGTTGTTGCATGCATGCTCCTACTACAGTAAAAGAATTGGTAAGCTTCGGACTCGTGAGATTGTTTCTGGAATGATTACGACAACTAAAATATATCACGGCAACTTTTATATACATTTTAATTTTGAATTTGTATCAGTTAAAGACTTTAGTAAAGAGGTTTTTTTTATTAATTATATTATTATATTTTTTTATTGACTGATTAAATTGTTTTTTACCTGGATTATATCAGGTTAATTTTTACAAAGTTTAATTTTAAATTCAAATAAAAAATTAAATTGACAATTTTTTCTATCAATTTCATATTTTTTCTTTATATTATCTTCAGATTTTTTTCACTTGTTTTTACATCAATTAAGTGAACAAAATTATACCAGAGTAATTTCCATGTATTTTTTAATTTTATATCCAAGACAAATAAAAAGACAATTTAAAAGGTTTCATGATTAACTAGTTAGTAAAAATTTAATATAAATGTTAAATAATTAAAAAAATTTATCCAACTCACAATAATGTGCGGCCCTGAAAACTAGCTTATTATATTTGTGCGTGTTTGTAATGTCATGCAGACATTTTTACAAGAATATCTTTTGATTAAAAAACCATTAATTTTTTTATTTTTTATATTCTATGATGGCCTTGTCATTTTCATTTAAAGATCATTAAAGAAACACTCATAAAAAAATTGAAATGTATTTTGAAAACACCTTTCAAATTAACACTTTATCAATTCAAACGGAAAAGGATTTCTAATTAATTATCCCACGGATTGTCGTGAGAGATCAGGAGCCAGTGGCCAACCTTCGTCCTCAGCATTTGTGGACTGGGTCCTGCCATTACAGCACTAATGTCATGATCAGCGTGGAATCCGAGGTAACATTCCTCTGCTGTAAAAGAAATGTTTTTCTTCAAAATTCAAACACGCCCACCCTCTTGGCTTTTTAAAAAAACCGATCGAAGGTGAACATAGGTCAATGTAATTATAACATTACTAGGGTTACTTTTCTCTTCCACATTCCTTGATCCTTTGAAACAATATTACTGTTTTTTTTTATTTCCTTCGGGCTTGAACCACCAACCTTGTTCTAATTTTCAGACATCAAGATAGAGTTTTTATTAATTACATCCTCGGCGTGTTATAAAAATTTATATCCTAATTATTTGTGATAAATGTTTTTGTTATGATTTCTTTCACCAATTCCAATCTAAATGACAACACGGGAACCAATTCACCTAGCATCTTAGCCAGCATTGGATTGGTAGCCAAAGAATTTAGAGGCCTGTGGTATTTTTTAAAGCAGGAATTTGAAAAGTCAGGTCACTGATTTTATTGAATTTTATAACCTTGATTAATTTAATATATATATATATAGAGCAACAATAGCAATTAAATTAAACAAGCTCAGCATGCATGATGATTCATAGAGCAATCTTTCAAACATGTGATTCATGCTTGAGACTCAACCCATCCCATAAAAAATAAATCAAGAAAAATCAAGAAGCTAAACTTCTAATTAACAAAATATCTCAACATATAAAATTAAAAACAAAAGTATCAATAAAAAAATATCTAAAATAAAATAAATAACAGTTAAAAGAATTTAAATCAAATTTTACAAGAAAATAAAATAAAATAAAATAAAATATTTAGGGATGCAATTGAAAATCAAATTCAATTTAAACAAATGATAAAAAAAACTAAAATAACAGTTAAAAATATAAAGATCACGTTTGACAGATAAAACAATAATAAATAACGAGATTGAAAGAAAATTCTAATTTTATGAATTATCTAAAATAAAACAAACGGTAACAAGAATATTAGAGACCAAGTTTGGAAGGAAAATAGATTGAAGGGTTATTGTGAAATTTTGCAAGGTGAGACATACAAATCAAGAATGAAAAAGGGAAAAAAAGAAAAGAAAAAAAATTATCGACACCAAACTCAAGATATGTTTGTCCTATATGCTGCACAAGAATGGAGAAGATGCTATAAAGACATCAAATGCCATAAGATAACTCTATGCATATCTTTTTAATATTAAATAATATTTTATATCATCTAAAATATCAAATTAACTCAAATGCCATTAGACAACTCTGTACTTACTGCCAAACTTTTTAACGTTAAATAATATTTTATATAATCTATAATACTAAATTGATCAAAATATCATCAAACAACTTTGTATGCATTGCCTGAAGAGTACGAATAAAGCAATGTATGTCTACTTAAACTATATGTGCTATTAATTTTTTAATATTAAATGATATTTTATTTTATCAAAAATACTAAATTGATCTAAATATTATCAAATTTTACTGTCAAACTTTTTAACATTAAATAATATTTTATATAATCTAGAATACTAAATTGATCAAAATATCATCGAACGACTTTGTATGTATTGCCTGAAGAGTACGAATAAAGCAATGTATGTCTACTTAAACTATATGTGCTATTAATTTTTTAATATTAAATGATATTTTATTTTATCAAAAATACTAAATTGATCTAAATATTATCAAATTACTCTGTATGCACCGTTTAAAAATTACGAATAAAGTAATATGTGCTCATCTTGGCATTTACTTTTAAATATGAAATCATATTTTATATCATTTAAAACATCAAATTAACTTTAACCCTACTTGATAATAAAAATAACACAGTGAAAAGATTAAAAAAAACCTTAGGATGTAAGTTAAAAAAAACTTGATTTCAATGACAAAATAGTCATATTTCTATGCTATTAATTAGATAGGAAAAGTCAAAACAATCCCTACACGTCAGTTCATTATTTTTTACATTCAAAAATATCATAATTATTTTACTGTGCAAAAAATAACTGAAATATCTCTCTACCCCTAATGCTTACGTCATTTTTTTTTTGTTGAGAACAATAAAATCATAATTTAACAGTTTCAATTCATAATCAATATCAATTTAAAATGTCATTGTTTTAAGTTTATTTTCTTTAAAAAAAAGTTATAAAAAATGATTTTGAAAAAGATTAAATTAAAAAAATTTAATTGAGTTTTAACCATATTAGAAGTTTCTCCTATCATATATACCCTTACAATTAATGGGGTCATTTTCACATAATTTTTTAAACCCGGTATTCGCAGGCCGTTAAGGTTTAATTACACTATTATAAACTAAAAAGAAAAAAAAATACTCCCATTGTTTCAAAAGTAAAGACAAAAGAAGATTGGAAAACAATGTAAAATGACAGAGTTAAAGAATTAATTATATCAATGAAACTTGGAGGGAGGGAAGGGAGATCTTCCCTTTTGTCGATTGATACGTCGCACTCATCACCCCCACAGCCCTTACACCTCAAAACTTGTGACTGTTCCTGTGCTGAATTGTTGCATCTCATCGTTAAATATTAAACACGGTTTCTTTCACCAGCTCCAGGCCAAGGACTTTTTCATCAACAAACTCTCACAAATTACTTATTACATATGCGTGAGAATCTATATTATGAAAACAAAACCCCGTACCAAGACTCCCACGCTGCCCACTGCTTAACACTTATTGCTCTGAATCCACCACCAACCATCACCAATCAATTCTCACAGTTCAAAAGTTTGAAAAATGGATTACGTAAAGAAGATGATGATGTACCAGGATCCCTGAGTAGAATTCACTGACTCATATTGACTTTGTTCCCGTCCAACCTCCTTATTTGAGGTACAGTGTGCTGACACAGATTGACATCTATTGTTATGGGAGAAAATGGATCCATAAAATCATAGAGATTTGTAAGCTGATAATGCAAATGAAATGAGTTTGCTTTATTCCGAGGACAGAATATTGATTCTGAAGAGAAGGGGTAGCTGGCTACATAGAAGAGGAGTGGGAGATCGAAGGCATTCAATGATTATACATATGTTGGGCTGCCGGTTCTGTGAAATTTAAATTATCCTAATTCCCAGCGTAAGAGTTTTTTCTCTCTTTTTTTTATTTGAACCCTTATACCAGTTCATGCTTGTTCACTAGAACATTCACAGTACAGGAATTAGATCTTTGAAAATTCAGTTAGTTATACTCGCAAATTTCGAATCTGAGTCATAATTAATATATATATAGCAATTCCACCTTCCCTTTTCACTGCCTCCAAATCATGGGATACAAATTTCTTTTCCAAATGAATTGGTTATTTTTATTTGCTTGCTAGCATAGGAGACAGTTATTTTTTGAAATATTTTTTATTT